TATAACTTAATTTCCAGGTTGATAAACTGCTGGCAACTGGAGTTAGTGTCACTATATATGCTCCTCAAGTAAGTCATTAACATTGGCGATGAGAGACTCGTTAATTTCTCTTCATGTATGTATTAAATATTAGTATTTAAATATTTTAAGAAGTCTTGTATAAAATTATAAATATTGATAAATAAAAAGATTACTAGTATTAATACCCATGTACAACATGAGGTTGAGTAAATGAATATATGTGTTAAGTTATTTATGTCTAATACCAAACCTAACTCCAAAACAAAAAAATAATAATAAAACAACATCACGAAGCATAGATTTTTGCCATGTCAGCATCCGAAGCATGAGAATCCGCCACATAGGCTCAACACGTTTTGAATTAATATATAGGGAGGGATTACTTCATTTTTTAATGGTAATTTATTGTAGTTGGACGTGCTTTGCTCACCTAAAGGAACTGAGGCATGGCTTGTACAGCTCAAGTAAGATTGTTTTTGTGTTTTTTTTTAATGAAAATGATCTTTTTGTAATCTTTTTGTAAATATACGAGACGAAAATAAAAAATGCAATCCGAAGAGGACGAAAAAGTTAGGGTAGTGAAACAGACAGAACTAAATTTGTAATTTACCCTATTGGAAAATTTTATCTTGAAAAAAACCAAAGCTTATTTAATGAAAAAAAAAATATTATGGTTTATTATAAATTAGTCTTAACTTCAATACTAATTAATATTCCATCTGTAAAATTAGGTGGCCAGGGCTTAAACCATTCTTAAGGACGGAAAGAAGTACAATATATTGTGATCATGAGGATGATCATCATAATAATAATAAAAGGACAGGGGGCTTCCTTAAATCCTTCCTCAATTTGAATTTCTATTGGATTCTTGATGCTGGTCACTTTGTAAGTTCATATACATCTTAAATTCGGGAAATGATACGACTGTTACGGTTCTGTCGGGATTTGTAACCGTTAGATCAACTATTCCGACGATTACATGATGATCTAATAGTTACAAACCTTAATGGAATTGTTTTGTAACGGAACTATAGTATCTCTCCTTAATTTCAACCATGATATATGAATATATATGCCATTATTAATATATATATATATATATATATATATATATAGTATAAATTAATTACATTATATAGAATTTTGTTTTAACTTTAATTTTTTGTTTATGATCTCAGGTACCTATGGATCAGCCGTGTATAGCTCTAAACATGATAGCCAACATAATTCAATCATCTCATGCTCCTTAAAGATTTATGTGTAAAGGAATATATATATATATATATATATATATATATAGAAAGAAAAAAAAACGTAATTTTATGTGTGCAATGAAATTAATGTCCAAAGAGAAATATAATTTACATTGACATTGCAAAGTATGTATTTATTTTCATTTTATTGCAAAAACAGATCTACGTGTCATCCCATGCACCAATTAGATGCAAGCAAGCCACTATGCATATCTCTAGTACGATGTGAATAGAGTAAATTGCATTTTTGGTCATGTATGTTTCACTATTCTATTTTTTTCATCTTCTTCGAACTGTGTTTTTAATTTTCGTCTCATATATTTGTAAAAAAAAGTTTGCAAAAAGGCGCTTGTTATACATAAAGGACGAAATTGATTTTTTTTTTTTTT